AGGCGGGTCTCGAACCCTCAGGCTCAGGCAGTCCACTCCCCTCAGCCTCCCAAAGGCGCGGGATGACAGGCTGAGCCACCGAGCCTGGCTGGTAACTTCTTTTTAGGGTAAATTTCACAAGTCTGATCGTTCTTTTTAAAAATGTTTTTATTTATTTGTTTTTATTTAATTACTTAATTGATTTTGCGGGGGAGTTGAGGGTCTCACTCTGTCGCCCAGGCTGGAGTGCAGTGGCACCATCATGGCTCACCATAGTCTCAACCTCCTGGGCTCATACAGTCCTCCTGCCTCAGCCTCCCAAGTAGCTGTCACTACAGACATGCGCCACCATGCCTGGCTAATTTTTTATTTATTGTAGAGACGAGGTCTCGCCAAGTTGCCCGGGCTGGTCTCGAACCCCTGAGCTCAGGCAGTCCTTTAGCCTCCACCTCCCAAAGTGCTGGGAGGTCAGGCGTGAACCACTATATATATATAGATATTGGCCGGGCATGGTGGCTCACGCCTGTTATCCCAGCACCTTGGGAGACTGAGGTGAGAGCCCAGGGATTCCAGACCAGCCTGGGCAACATAGTGAGATCTTATCTCTAAAAAAAAAAAAATAATAATAATAGCAACAACAGTTGTATCAGCAACTCAAAACAGTGACACTGAGCTAATCACTCTTGTAAGCATATTTCGTGTATGTGCTGTGAAGTGTCAACTGTTACTATTCTCATTTTGCATAGGAGTCACAGAGGCACAGAGAGGTTAAGTCCAAGGCCACACAGCTAGTAGCCAGAGGCACACGGCAGGGTCACAGCGTTCACAGGGCCAAGGGCAGTTCAGAACTCCCCGGACCACATCCCTCGAGATCAACACGGGCGTAAAGGTCCTCAGGCCACGGCGGAAGGGTCGGAGGAGCCCAGGGGCCCCAGCGTCCTCGGCACCCAGGGTCCTGGGAGTCACACGCGGGCTTGGGTCGCAGGTGCAGCGGGAAGCCCTGTTTATGAAGAGCGAGCGACACGCGGCCGAGGCCCAGCTGGCCACAGCGGAGCAGCAGCTGCGGGGTCTGCGCACGGAGGCCGAGAGGGCGCGCCAGGCCCAGAGCCGCGCCCAGGAGGCCCTGGACAAGGCCAAGGAGAAGGACAAGAAGGTGGGTGTCCCTTCTCCCGGCGGAGGCTGGGGGCAATGTCCCAGCTGAAACGGTCTTGGAGAATCAGCCCACTTTCCAGATGGGAGACTGAGGCACACGGAAGGAAGGGGACTCGGCTATGGCCCTTGACGAGGCAGACACGCAGGCTGCTGTTTCAGCTGCTAATTGTAACCACCGTGACATTTATTTAGCGCTTACTGCATACCAGGCCCTGTGTGATGCATTTAATGTGAACTTAATGCATTGAACCCCCACATCCAGTTCCCATAAGGTAGGTACTTTTTTTTTTTTTTTTTTTGAGTTGGAGTCTCACTCTGTCGCCCAGACTGGAGTGCAGTGGCCGCTCCCGGCCACCACAGCCTCGACCTGCTGGGCTCCGGCGACTCGTCCGCCTCAACCTTCCGAGTAGCTGGAACTACCGGCGCGCACTACCATGCCCTACTAATTTTTAATTTATTGTAGAGATGAGGTCTCGCCAAGTTGCCCAGGTGGGTCTCGAACCTGCGGGCTCAGACAATCCACTCACCTCAGCCTCCCAAGGTGAGGGATTACAGGCTGAGCCACCGAGCCCAGCTACATGATCACTTTTAATCTTCCCACAACCCTGAACGTCAGAAAGCATCTTAATCCCCATTTTCCAGAGGAGCAAACAGAGGCGACAGGCAGTGGTGTGAGTGGCTCAAAGTCACCCAGCAGGTCGCTGGACAGAAGATGAGAGCCCCAGAGCCCCTGGCGCTTTGGCAGAAAGTGTCGCCGAGCCTTGGCTCACTCTGTGACCTCAGACAGAGAAGTCATTTCACTCTGGGAGCCTCAGTCTGTCCCCTCTGGAAAATGGTTATAAAATCATGGTTAGGATGACGGATTATTGATATTACGGTGTCTCCCCCTTCGGCACGTTTGACATTTGAGGCCAGATTATTCTCTGGGGTGGGACCATCTGGGCCCTGCAGGGTGTTGAGCTATGTTCCTGGCCTCCACCCCCTCCATGCCATGAGCACCCCCCAGTTGCGACACCCACACATGTCCCTGGACACTGTCAGTTTCCCCTGGGGGCCAGAATCACCCCAGATAGATAACTTCTGATCCAAGATAATAATAAGGTCCGGGCTGGGTTTGCTGTCATCCCAGAATTTTGGGAGGCCAAGGCAGGAGGATTGTTTGAGGCCAGGAGTTCAAGACCAACCTGGGCGACATAGCGAGACCCTGTCTCACTGAGCATGGTGGCTCATGTCTATAATCCCAGCACCTTGGGAGGCCAAGGTGAGAGGATTGCCTGAATCCAGGGGTTTGACACCAGCCTGGGCTACTTGGTGAGATCTTATCTCTACAATAAATGAAAACAATTAGCCGAACACAGTGGCACGCACCTGTAGTTCCAGTTACTTGGAAGGCTGAGGTGGAAGGACCCCCAGAGCCCAGCAGGTTGAGACTGTGGTGGCTGGGAGCGTGCCACTGCACTCCAGCCTGGGTGACGGAGTGAGATTCCTACTAAAAAAGAAAAAAAAAGATCGCATCTCTTTTTATAAAACAATAATAATAATAAGGTCCAGCATTATTTGAGCACCTACTGTTTCCCAGGCACAGTTTAAACTTAATCTCAGTGCCGGCTCACAATAAGAACAATGATTAGCCGGGCTCGGTGGCTCAGCCTATTATCCCGCGCTTTGGGAGGCTGAGGTGAGTGGATGGCCTGAGCCTGTGGGTTCGAGACCCACCTGGGCAACTTGGCGAGACCTCATCTCTACAATAAATCAAAAATTAGCCAGGCATGGCAGCGCGCGCCTGTAATTCCGGCTACTCGGAAGGCTGAGGCGGAAGGATCGCCGGAGCCCAGCGGGTCGAGGCTGCGGGGGCCAGGAGCGGCCACTGCACTCCAGTCTGGGCGACAGAGTGAGAGTCCAACTCAAAAAAAAAAAAAAAGAACAATGATTCTCCCTGTTTTACAGATAAAGCAACTGAGGCACTTAACTGAGATTAAGTCACCTTCCCACAATCATCTTGGAGTAAGGAGTAAGGGAGGGGCTCAAGCCCAGAGCTGTCTGACCCAGCCCAGTCAGGCCAGGCTGCTTGGGGCCCTGTTGTTCTGTGAGCCTCTCTTTAGAGGTGGGACCAGACAGTGGGGTTACACAAGGCCATAGAGTCTGTGTTTTCTGTCCAGCGGGGCAACCAGTCTCTGTTATAACTTGCCCACTCTGCCCTTATGGTCTGAAGGCACCCATTAAGACAATGCGTGGAGAAACAGACACGGCCGTGTGCCAATAAAACTTTATTTGTGAACACAGAAATGTGAATTTCAAATCGTTTTCTTTTTTCTTTTTTTTTTTCCTTTTTGCGTGGAAGTCTCACTCTGTGGTCCAGGCTGGAGGGCAGTGGCACGCTCACAGCCACCACAGCCTCGACTGGCTGGACTCAGGAGATCCTTCCGCCTCAGCCTTTCCAGTTGCTGGAACTACGGGCGTGCGCCACCACGCCCAGCTAATTTTTTGATTTATTGTAGAGACGAGGCCTTGCCAAGTTGCCCAGGCGGGTCTCGAACCCACGGGCTCAGGCAGTCCTCTCACCCCGGCCTCCCAAGGTGCTGGAATGAGAGGCGTGAGCCACCGTGCCCAGCTGTGTATTTATTCTTACATTCTAAAACTTCAGTCACCTTCCAAGTCCTCCTCATTGGATGTGATACCCCCACTGAGATGCTTTTTCTGCTGCTCAAAACAGTTTTTGGACCTGTCTATGTTTGCCTTTAATGCTTCTGCCGTTTTTGGTTTCACCTCTTCCACGTCAGCAAAACGTTTCCCTTGGTGGACTTTTTTCATCTGGGGAAACCAAAAAAGTCCCCCCCAAAACCACCGAAGCCAACACAGCGTCTCATAGCAACACGACCTGGTTCATGGGTGCCACTGTGTTATTAGAACCCTCACCTAGCGAGGGAGCCTGGACGACAAGAGATGATTCTGGGTTTTGGGGCCCCCCTCGCATAAAACAGGCTGCAGACCTGTGACCCTCAGGCTAGAGTTTGCTGACCCCTGGGCAGGGGTTTTCCCTGATAAGCTTTATCCCTAACCCCTGCCTGCTGGGGTGGGGAGGACCACTGACCGCACCACTACCCTCAGATCACAGAACTCTCTAAGGAAGTCTTCAGTCTTAAGGAGGCCCTAAAGGAGCAGCCGGCCTCCACGGCCTCCTCCGAAGTGGAGGCCCTCCGTGGCCAGGTGAAGGCTTTACAGGAGCAACTGGAGGTACGGGTTGGGCCGGGCAGGGGGAGGGCACCATCGGGGTAGTTGACAACCAGCCCAGGCACCCATCATCCCGGCACTTGGGGAGGCCGAGGCGGGAGGATCACTTGAGGCCGGGAGTTTGAATCCAGCTTGGGCCACACAGCAAGACCCTGTTTGTACAAAAAATTGAAAAATTAGCTGTGGCGTGGTGGCGTGCACCTGCCGTCCCAGCTACTCAGGAGGCTGAGGTGGGAGGATCATCTGAGCCCAGGAAGTGGAGGCTGCCAGCCTGGGTGACAGAGTGAGACTCCGCCCCCCAGCCCTCCCCCAAAAAACAGACTGGATTGCGAAGGGGACATTTAGGATGTTTTGTGGGGTGGGGCCAGGACCCTGCCTTCGTAGCAGCCCTCCCCCCGCCCACAGGAAGCGGCCCGTGACCACTCTGCGGTGGTGGCTTTGTACCGAAGCCACCTCCTGTATGCCATTCAGGTGAGTCACCCGGCTCCTGGGTCCACCTCTGGGCACTGCCCCTCAGTTTCCCCTTCAGTGCAGTGGGAGGCTGATGGGGGGAGGGGGGAGGCCTGGTGGAGCAAATTCTGGGCTTGCTTGGTCTTTTGTGTGTGGGTGGGGAGCTGGGACAGGCGGGGTGGGGGCACCCAGGGTCTCTCCCCGCTCCCGCCACCCCTGCCCCACCCCCACAGGGCCAGATGGATGAGGACGTCCAGCGGATTCTCAGTCAGATCGTACAAATGCAAAGACTCCAGGCGCAGGGCCGCTGAGGCTGGCAAGATGGCTGCCACGACCCCCCCATGGAAGCCTCGGCCCCTACTCCCCCAACCCGCGGCGCCTCTCGGAGTGGCTTGCCTGGCCCTGCGGGGTCTCTGGGAGGCCAGCTCGGGTCCTTTCCCGGCTGTCCCG